TTTTTGTTTCAACGACTTATATATAATTTGAAGAACACACGTGGATTTACAATGATATATATATATATATATATATATATATATATATATATATATATGCAAAAAACCACTGTATTATAAGGCAACAGTATGTGTTAGCGATCAGTCTGAGAATTGTGATAGCATGGAACGTGCGTCATAGACTCACGTCCATCTACGTATATATATATATATATATATTATATATATATATATTATATATAGACATTGATAGCGTAAAAGTCATACACAGTTGGCGTATTATATATAGATCATGATCATAAATATCTAGTATTATTCTGAACTATCGATATCTATTATAGGCATGAACAGCGCGGGTTCTTAACTAAAGCAATTGTCTTGCTTACATATTATAAATACGTGTTCGCGGAAGGTGGGTCAGAGGGGACGTGAGCAAGTAGTACGTGTCAGTAGCAACGTGGTCAGCGACAGAGAGACGTGTAGAAGATGGGTTCATTTCATAGGCTCAACATGGGGGAAGGGTTTGAGAGGGGGTTCCCCTCGCAAAAGAGATTTTTTTTTTCGAGGCAACATCTGGATGGCCAGAATTGGCCTCTCTGACTGTGACAGGCAAATGTTGGCTTGGTGTGGGCCTTTTTTTAAATATAGGCCTATTTTTATGGTCTGACTGTCCGACGAGCTCTGTCCGACGGAGTGGGGCTTGACCTGTCCGCTGGTGGCCTAAGCCCCAATCTTCCCCCCCCCAGCTGGCCCCGCCACTGCTCACGCACAGAGTTCTTTCATGGGTCAGGCGGGTCAGAGTGAGCGTGCCGCACACACTAGTTTTTTTTTTGTTTTTTTTTTATAGATCTCAGGAAAGTGTACGAGAGGCTGTTCAGAGCGGACGTGTCGCATGGATCACGAATGTGTATGATAGGAAGTTGGGTTCCGGGCCAGAGTAGACGTGCAACACGTACGGTTCTTCCATGGACCAGCAACGTTTACGAGATTCGGGTCGGAGTGGAGTGCCGCACACTCACTAGAGCTCTTCCATTGATCAGGGACGTGTACGAGAGGCGGGCCAGAGTGGACGTCCCACAAGGACGGGCTCTTCAGTGGACCAGGAACGTGTAAGACAGGCGGGCCATGAGTGGACGTGTTGCACGTACAGAGCTCTTGCATGGATCAGGACGTGTGCGAGAAGCGGTTTAGTGGTGGGTGCCGCACATACAGGTTCTTTCATGGAGAAGGGACGTGTAATGCGTAAGCCGGTGCACCCTGGTTTCTGTATGGGGATCCAAACAAAAACGCTACTTATCATATTAATATTGAATATATCATAAAAACCTAACACCAAAAAAGTATCAAAACGAATAAGATCATCGATTTATAACTGTTTTACTATTTTCGAAAATATACATCTGACCAACATGAATAATGAGAATCCGAACATACTAAACAATGACCAAACAATAAAAACATTTAGAAAATCGATGGAAGGATTAACTTGCACATGCGCACAGCCATGTATTATGTACTCCACAATAAATAGACTCCAATCAATCAAGTGATGTTACCTATTCACATCTTAACTCTACATATCGTCTTGCTTTTGTTATTCAAAGACAGATTTGTATCTAATAAGAGCGATTGCGGCTCATTCAGCTTTAATATTAACGTAATAAATGTAGATGTGCAGGTCACTTCGCCAGAAGAAAAAGATGGATGAAAATAACTACTGAATAGGGTCCAAGAACAGGTACGGTACTCGAGGTCGGGGAAGACAGAAGTAGATGGTTTCAGCTTGGGAAGGCCTTTACCCTGCAGTCGACCGACACAGGGTGTTAAACTCAACTATATAGAGATGTCTATTTTTTTAAACATCCTATTGCCAATGTTTAAATTATCTTTTTCATTTCTTTGGCGATAAAAGTTGAATATGAAAACGGCTGAAATGATGATGATAATTATAATATGGTGCGGCCGGAATATGTAACTATTACTAATTAGGTCTGTACAAAGTTCAACGTACAGAAAGTTAGTTTATTAATAATAATAATAATAATAATAAATAAAACACAGTAATAATAATAATAATAATAATAATAATAATAATAATAATAATAATAATAATAATAATAATAATAATAATAATAATAATGTACATATAATACTTATATAGTGCATATTGCGCAGTGCCTCTAAAAGTCACTAAAATTGGATCATTTCTTCATTTCACCATGACAAAATATTCTGCAAAGTGTTATTTTTATTTATCTATAACTGGGACGTAAGCAATTTAAGTGATCCTCAAATTTACACCTTAACCTGGATCGTCCCCTACACATAATGATATCGTCTTTGTAACTTGGTTTAAACGTTCCCGAAAGTTTCATTCGGATCAGTTGACCCGTTTTTGAAATATCTGGTCTTTGACGTTTTCATTTAAATGGTCCTCATGTTCACACCCTACGCTGGATCATCACAAAAATTTAGTCATTTCTTTACTGGATATTTACAAACTATTATAGAAAGTTTCATTTCCACCCTTTGAAAGCTTTTTACAGATATTTAAGTCTGGGATCTCAAAAATTTAAATGACCCTCCAATTTACACCCTTGACTAATTCGTCGCCAACACATCTTCCTTGTAACTTGGTTAAACTATTTCCGAGTGTTTCATTCAGATCAGTTAATCCGTTTTCGAAATATGTGGTCTTGGACGTTTTCCTTTCAATGATCCTCAGATCTACACCCTACACTGGATCGTCACAAAAATGTAATCATTTCTTTACTCGACCTTGACAAACTGTTATACAAGGTTTAAATTATACCCATTGATTTTTTAAAGAGATATTTTGGTCTGGGTCCTCAAAAATTGAAATGATCTTCCAATTTACGCACTTTACTGTGATTCGTCGCCAGCACATAATAATTTCTTCTTTGTAACTCGGTTTAGTATTTCCGAATGTTTCATTCAGAGCAGTTGATCCGTTTTCGAAATATGTGGTCTGGGACGTTTTCCTTTCAATGGTCCTCAGATCTACAATAATATTGTACCAAGTGATTGAATCAATAGTTACGTAATAGTACTGTTATGAAAAACATATGAATAAGGATAGCGATAGACTTGACTCAATATTGACGTGATAGACTGCACAAGTCAAATGTGACACGAACTGGTTGCACACAATATTGATTAGTGTAGTCTAAATCCATACAGAATTCTCCCCAAACTCAATAATGTATAATTGATAGAATATTAACTACGTTTTCGGATGCCTTGCGCTCTAGTAAATTAGTAAGTCATTGTTGTTGCTTAAAAAGAAATTTGTTTCAAATTAAAGCAGCAGTTTTTGTTAATCTAAATTATATGAAGACTGACTCTTATATTATTGGATGGTCCGTTATTAATCTGACATTTCGCCAAGTTGATTAGTTGAGTGCCTCAAGGCTTGATTAATAAACTAAAAAAAATCGAATATATAGATGACGTTAATATGCTATATTTAAATATTTATGTTGAGCACGGTCTTTATAGAAACTTCATTTACATTATTATTAGAAAAGTTTCATAATCACTAGCTATTATTAGGCAATGTTCAGAATTTATTACATATTTTAACAGTTACCAAGCTAGGTAATTACTATGAAAGTGCATAGGGGTCTTTACATTATGCGCTCTTAAATTGACAATTATTAAAAGGATAGATGTCAGGGGCGGCGTCGGGGATGGCTGCCGCCCCACCCCGTCTGAAAGAAAATACGAAAAACACAATTCGTCGAAGGGGGGGGGGGACATTATATGTATTTTCAACATGTAGTAAAATAAATTAAGGCCTTTGAAACCCAAAAATTGTCAACAATTTCGGGGGCTTCGACCAGTGGACCACTTTTGAAATATTTTGAGCGATGCCCGACCATCCCTACTTTGGTCTTGTCGGGAACATCTCCCTCCCCCGTCGGGGACCTCGAAGCCCCGTCTGGAAAATCAAGGCGCCACCTCTGAGAGATGTTCAGATTCGAACAAAGAGTAAAATTGAAACTGCCTTTGCACTAAATAATTCGGTCAATCTATGCCTTCAATACTAGCCAACTCTTCACATGCACACGTCCCATGGATCCTTCCCGAACTCACTCCATCTTTCTACCCTTCCCAAACGCATTCCACGACCCTTCTCGAACGCGTTCCATCTTTATAGGCCTTCCCTTTCCCGAATGCGTGCCATCTTTCGACCCTCCCGAACGCGTTCCATCTTCCTGCCCTTCCATAACGCGCGCTCCATCTTTCTACTATTGGCGTTCCAATTTTAGATCCTTCCCAAATCGGGTTCCATCAATCCGTCTTTACTTTTTCCGAATGATCACCCTCTTTTCTTTTTATTGAAATTCACTAAATGACATAACAAATATTGTACAGTATAGTAAATGCTATTAAAATATAATCAATTTTACTAATTCGTATATTCATTCTATGAAAGATGAAATGTTCCATTTAACTCGGATGGGCCTCGTTCCACTTCTTGAGAAATATGCTATCACACTGCACTCATAAATATTCACTATTTATAGGCCTACTATTTAGTACACTAGGCTTTTCAAGCCAGTGGCGGGTCCTGGAATTTGAAATAGAGGAGGCCCAAAAGGAGAGACTTCCACAGATGGAGGGTCTATACCATATCATCCAGTGCACTAGGACTAAACGATTCCTCTACTATAATTATGGAGGCATGTATGCTATAATAGGCTAGGCCTACAGAACTCCTCCCACATAATATACTAGGGCTATCAATCCTACTACGATTAGGCCTACTTTTGAGATTACCTCAATACCGTATGATTCTAAAGACGAAACAACTGCACTGGTTGAAGGCCTCTACTATTACGCACAGGTCTGAAATATGTTGTGGCCGCTCACACTATCGATAGTGACAGTTAACTATTCCAGAACGGCTTACAAACGATAATTATTGTAAAATTTCCCCAGTTCTTTTAGTTAAAGTTAACTCGAGCGGAACTTTTATGTCAACGGAACAATAGTAATAGTAATAAAAATGGTAACAGTTCAACTAAAAATCGTAGAAAACAACATACAGACAAAACCCACATTCCAATGAGACAGAGCTCAAGACATGGATTGATTTATTTTGGCATTTATTCTTTAAGCATAGTCACGGCCAAATGGATACATTTAATGCAAACAGAAGTATGAAATACCAAAACCAACAGGTGACAGAAACGTATGATTTATTTTCAATAAATAAAATGACAGACCTATGGATAGTCCTACTGTATGTAGAGAGAGACCCGGCATACAATTCCACTTACAGTACTCCTGTATAGTTTACAATATCCCTCATAATGTATATACTTTATTTGAAAAACATGACTAAAATATTCGCAATTATAATGTGAAATTGCAGAAATGAACTACAGTACCGGTACCATATTATTTAACATTCAGCTTAGTTATTCAAAGCCTTTTTACACTTACTAGGCGTCCGTTTCAAATATTCATGAGCTAATCCATTATATGTATGTTACATAAATTATCCACCCAGACTACAATGAACATACCAAAATGAAAAAAAAAAAGGTTTAAATTACATTTTATAAAAAAATATGCGAATTTCGTGCAATAGATATAGGATGAAAAATTGATAATTGCAAATTTTTAATATAGTTTCTACTACAGTTATTGAAGTGAGCCTACAATACACATCGCATATCTGTAATTTTCTGTGCTCCAACGCTACGTAATTACTGTAGAGTAACAGCATCACTTGTGATTAGGGAACCGCTGTGCATTGCTCGGTCTTCAAGCTCGAAATTGTAATAATCTTATGGTCGTAATTAATCATACTGCATATTTTAAAATATAAATGACAACTACATGATATCTTCCAACCTCTTATGTAAATTTGCAGAATCATCATTATTCTTGTTATAATAATTATTATTATTATTCTTAAAAAAAAAAAAAGGCCTGTACTATATTTATATTCACAACAAACTACTGTAAAATTTCAGAAGCCAAACTAAAAAAGAAGCCCTTTAGTTTGCTAAAGTTATCTCAAAAAGAGGCACATCTTGAAAAGAAACCCATGGGCTTTTAATCAAGATAATACAAGGTTCTTTCGACATAGTACTCACATTCACCCTAATGTTTTCTTTGATTATTATGATAGCGTGTCAGTATCGATATTATTTCTTTGTACTAGCATGGTAAAAAAAAACAAAAAACAGAATTTCGAATTCCATAGTTGAAAAATGTGGTATAATAGCAATTCCATAATTTAACAGCATTAATTTTGAAAAGAAGCCCTCTTCTTTAGTTTGCAACAGTAATCTAAATAAAATCCCATTTCAAAAAGAGGTCTATCTCGAAAAGAAGCACAAAACTTCTCTTTGAGGTTTAGTGTTTTGTTTCGATAATCAACTTTACAGTTATTAATCCTGATGTTTGAGTGGAGTTTGGAACACAAGAAAAACAATCAATGGCTACGTTTGAATCTCCCTGCATCTCATAAAAAATAATAAAATATTTACCATGATATTATTAAAGTCTTTGCTTCTATAAATAAATAATCAGCTCAAAGTACAATAACTTCAATTGCACTATTACAGAGGCAGTTGCAAAAGTGACGCTTGCTCACTGGCATCAGCAAAAGAAAATCACTAAGCAAGCATGACATTACTTATGAGATTAACATGGCCATGGCCGCATGGGGCCCGCAGGGCCGCAATTTGTCCACCTGCGCTAAGTATCATACTTGGATGAAGTCACATGATAGATAATCCTACAGATTATCTGACTTGCAGTTACATGATAGCTAATCCTTCTGATTATCGCACTTGCATCAAATCATATGCTAGCTAATCCTACAAAGTATCGTGCTTGCATTAAGTCCCATGATAGCTAATTTGTTGATTACCTCCCTTAAATAAAAAATCAAGTCACATGATAGCTAGTCCTACAGCAGACTATCTCACTTGCAGATTAGCTAATCCTGCAGATTATCTCACTTGGATCAGTTCACATGATAGGTAATCCTTCTGATTGTATCACACGCATCAAGTCACATGATAGCAAATCCTGCAGATTACTCAATTGCATTAAGTCCCATGATAGCCAATTTGTTGATTACCTCCCTTAAATAAAAAATCAAGTCACATGATAGCTAGTCCTACAGCAGACTATCTCACTTGCAGATTAGCTAATCCTGCAGATTATCTCACTTGGATCAGGTCACATGATAGGTAATCCTTCTGATTGTATCACACGCATCAAGTCACATGATAGCAAATCCTGCAGATTACTCAATTCCATTAAGTCCCGTAATAGCTAATCCCATTTATTATCGCACTTGCATCAAGTCACATGATAGCCAAGCCTGTAGATTCTCTCTTTCACCAAATTACGTAGTAGCTTATTAAATAATTAGATGATCATCCAACTATAAATACAAAGGTGAATATATATTTGAACTTTTAACCCAACAGCTTATGCAGTATCCTTTCACTTGGACGTCGTCACCTGTTCACCAGTTAAGAAATAGTAGCACTGATTGCACACAAGTTCTTTTGCACTTTGAGCTGCTGGAGCTGAAACAAGAACATCAAATCTAATTAATTGTAGTAAATATTATTGTATGCTACTTTTTGCTTAGTGGTGTGGTGTGTATTTTTTTAACTTGCACTCAATTTGGTTGTCACCATTGTCTAGCTAGAAGTTACAACAACCGTACTACTATTAATACTACTCCTAGTTTAGAAAAAAGTATTTACCTTCATATTTATAAACTTTAGAATCCTGTTCAAAATCTTAGGTGTGTTCAACTATATTACATTTTAACATTTTAATGTTTTAGAGCGAAATTTACATACTTTTACATAGATTGAATAGTATAGTTTTATTGTATGGTCATTTCCTATGTCTTAGTTGCAAGTAAGACAATTTTAAAATTTGTGTTTGACATTTGAGTTTGACAATCAAGAATATATACAAAAATAGAAGTTTAAATAGCAGCCACAATATTTTTGATGTGGTTCAGAATAAAATGACAACCACGGCAGAGAAAATGCTTACATGTTGCTCCAAAAATTGAGCGGGGAATCTTCTTAAAACAGCATTTTGGACAGAACTGGTTACCACAATAGCGACAGTACCTCTGAAATGAGATGATTATAATGAGCAATTAATCGGTCAATCGGTAAATCAGCTCACTGAAAAGCTAATATTAAACGTCAATTAAACTAAACTGTAATAGATGTTAGTAACTATATCTCAGTGTAATAACTAAGCTACTGTATGCCTAATTTATTAAAAAGCAATACAACAACCATCTTTAATCAGTGAGACAGATAAATAACAATCAAAATTAATTGTACTTGTCATTAGACTAACTTTTTATTCTTTCATTCATTCACTAATTTATTTATTCACTCATTTGTTTATATTGTTAGTTCATTTACTTATTCACTTATTATTATTAAACTAACAACCTGACAAAACTGCCTACCCAACAAACTGACTTAGTTTAATTGCTTAATTAACAACTTGAATTAACTAACTACTTGACATAACTGACTAGTATACTTGACGTAACTGACTTAGTTTAATTGCTTAATTAACAACTTGAATTAACTAACTACTTGACATAACTGACTAGTATTTGATAAAACTAATTAATCAACAATTTAATGATTTAAGTTAATTGCTTTACTAACAACTTGATTTAACTGCTTAATAGCCAATCTGACTTAAGCTTTGCCAACAACCTGACTTACCCTCCTCCTTAATACCGATGTGAATACTGTACTGCACAAGATACAACTAAGTGGTTCTACTTTCTTCTTCTTTTCTTTTTCATCAATGTCCGTTCTTTCCAGATGTTCTTCTTTAGTTTCATTATGCATCGATTCTGTGTCAGAGTTGCATTCTACATCAGACTGAAAAAAACCCCAAATATTTAACCAAATAATATCTAATACTTAAATTAAATTTCTATTATCTCTCCATAGTAGTATTACTAGCTACAAAAGTATGGTAATATTACCCCAAGTAGTTGAGATGTGTTCCATAGCTGTTTGATTTAACTACTGGTGTGATTATGTGCTGTAACATGCATAAAGGCTTTGGCATGATGTGATGTATAAATCTGACACAACTAATATATGTGGCAAAGACAAGCCAAACCAGTCACTTGTTGCAAATTGTGTTTCAGAGATAATAGCAAAAACATGCTAGAATGTAAAATTTTTAAAAATCTATTTGATTTCACTAAACTAAGGTTTATGTATCTATACATCATGCTGTGCTGTTATTTTTCCCAATTTCAATGTTAAAACAACACTTTTTAATGATTTTATGATAGTTTTTGCATGAGAAATGCCTGAAATCATAAACTTTGAAGGCTGATTTCTCATATATTGTTCCTTAAACAGCTGTATGCTTAAATGCTTGTAACTTCATAAGGAAATGTCGGATTTGAATGATTTTTTTACCATTTTGTAGCTCTTATTTTACTCTTTAACCCTGTATTAATAACTCAAAATCGATTTTTGCAACGAGTGACTGGTTTGGCTAGTCTTTGCCACATATATATATATATCAATATTACTTACGTCTACTGGACTATGTTCTTCTTGTACAGAATCACCTCTTGAAAGCTATGAAAGTAACATAATGATTGTATTAATGATAATTCTTATGATAAAAATATAAATGTATACAAGATACTGTAAAAGATACTTAAAAAGTTTATTGTCAAAACAAAAAAAAAAAGCAAAAAAAATGTCAGATAAGCTGTCTTCGGGCATTCAGCACTATATTAAAATATTATTAGAATATTTATACAATACAATACAATACAATCTTTATTTATCCCATAGGGGCAATTCAATAAAAGGATCTGGATTACAAGCTAAAAAGGTTAAAAAACATTACATCATAAAATACAATAAAATGCATTAAAAGAATCAATAGAATCCTCAACAATCTAACAATTTAACTTGTTTCCTTGAGTACGGAGGAATTACACAATGAAGATAAATAAATGTATATAAAAATAATGTCCAAAACCATTGCACATACAATATTAAAATAAAGAATATACAAGCAGAAGAATTAGAAATAAAAGTTTTTTAAACTCCACCCGTGTTTCTCTGTCTCTTTATATTGTACCTCTATTGTCTCAGTCAGCAACAGCAAAGGAATTGAGCCCGGATCATAAGACCCAAACATATCTTCACTGTTCAGTGCAACCACAAGTATGGCCACCACCAATTTAATTATACTGCTCTCTAAATGTAACCATATAAAAATGATCCATCTCACAATATAAAAATTCAAACATACCTTTCCCCTATTAATAAAAAAGTTGTATGTGGTAGAAGAGGCGGACATTAAACAGGAGTAGAAACCTCTGTTGATGCCAAGGATACTGGAAACTAACACCGCTCCACACCATTGGGTAGGAAAGAGAAAAAATGATAATATTGCCAGCAAGCTTGTGCCATAAATCCTATAATAAACAATACCACATAATATTAATAACTATAGAAATTAAAATTCTTTAAAATTGTCAATTAAAATATTAGATATAATAAGACAAGCATAAAACATTTATTTTCCACTGATTACAGAACCTAACTGTAGAATCACTTGCGTTGATCACTGGCAAATTTGAGAGTATATGCAAATAAAATAAGAACAATTATTTTCTTGTTCTAAATTCAAATAAAGTAATACCATACTTCAATATAAAAAAGCATGCAATCCATATGTTGTATGTTACTGTTTAAGTTTTTGAAACTTAACATAGTTTTTACGCAAATCAATATTATATAATTATAAAATTTATATAATTATGATTAGTTAGTTAATACTTACAAACTTGACAGATATACATTATACCAGATAAACACACAATACAAATCATCTGTTGCCTTATTCAACCACAAAAATAAGTCTTGTGCATCCAGAAACAACCGGCGACTTTCTATTAAAGTTTGCTTCTTTTCTTCCTCTGTTAAAACTACTGGTTTAGCATCATATGGAGAATATCTTGAATAATAAGAATTATTAATTTATTTATTTATTCAACTTTCTTTTATGAGGGTAGCTCTTACAGCGAGGCTGACTAAAAGAGGTCCTCATAACAAATACAAAACATATACAGTAATACGAGTTAAATACATAAAAGCACAATAGATTTTTAAAACAATTTTAAAACAATTGCAAAAACAATATATAAAAGTTTTACTAAAAAATCTATAAAAATTTTTTAGAATTTCAATTTCAATAAATTTTGAAAAATTTTAGATTTGAGCATTTTTTTTTGTGTTTATTTTTAAAAGAGTAAAATGTATTGGTGTTCCGCATATCATTAGGAAGTGAATAAAGATAGGAGGGACATTTAGAGCTAAAACTACTTTTAAACATTTCAGTTCTCAGTTTGGGCCAACAGTACATGCTCTAGTAGACATGCTCCTGGTTTGGACTTTGGTGAAAATTTTTTTTTGCAGAGGCAGTCTGGACTGACCCCAGCACCAGATTTGCTAGATATGCTAGGCAGCCAAGCTGTAGATTGATTGTTTGATTGACGTGAACATTGAATGTTGTGAAAAGGGTGGCTTAATAAAAAATATCATACACAAATTACACAATTATTTTGAGGTCATTATAACTGTTTGATAATTAAAGCCCAGTTTTTGGTGCTAACTTACTAGTACTGGTACTTGTAGCTGTCTGATTTCAGACATTCGGCAGCCATTGACATTATGCTGGCGTTAAAAGACTGCACCATGTTATAACACAGATATATTCTATGAAGCTGAAGTAGGCTCGCCAAAAATACCAATGGTATAAAAATATAGAATACATAGTCTTGATGTTTTGCTAACTAATCGATTAACAGTTGTCAACTGAAATACTGTAGCGCATTATAAAACATAACAAATTGGTGGAATGCTTTGAAAGACCAAGAGTGTGCAAGTGTCTTTCCTAAGCATGCAGGTGCTTTTTCTGAAAATTTGTTCCGAAATTTGTGTGGTGAGCCTAGGTGGGCGTAATCTCCCAGAAAGGGACTTTAGAACCCTTATCAGGGGCTTTAGAACCCCTATTGGAGAATTTCTGGCTTGGTCACTAATGAGTTCTGAAATACTTTACCCTGTGTCCACAAGATCAGTGTTGTTACTCTTTCTTTTTCTGTTGAGATGCTCTGTGGTCTTGATTTGTGATAAACGGACGAGTCCACCGATGGCAGCTATAGACAGGACGGATACCACGCACCAAACAAGAACTTGTTCTGTGAAATCAGATCATCAAATTCTAAAATGAAATTACTGGTTTTCATGAGTTGAACAAATATCGCTTGATTTTTCACTCTCATAATGAAGGAGAATACGTATTAAATGACCTAAAGAGTGAATATACAATCCACAAGAGTAATGTTGAATATTTTGTTGTATCAATGACACATCAGCAACTGAGACAGGAATTAGGCAGGCCAGGTCTTATATACTGTGCTAATAAGCTGACAGGTGTTGGAAAGTATTGAGAAAAAAAAATAAAAAAAAATTAGGTAATAAGGAAAGCGTCACTAAGCTCATTCTTACGGTTTATAGAGGGCCTAATGCGATTGATACATTGTGCTTCCAACACACGAAGGCGCAATTCATCTTTAGGCGCTCTTCTGACGATGTAAACCAAGATATCGGGGTCTTTCACGGCAGGATGGTTTTCTTTTAATTTGCATTATTTAAAAAAAAACCGAAAGGTCCACTGATTAATCTCAGATAAGAAAGTATAATACATACTCCAAGTATTTCAATACTTGGAGAGTATTAAAATACACGCCATCGTGTTGGGATTCAATATTTCGACATTAATTATGTCATCATCACTGATGATGACATAATTAATGTCGAAATATTGAATCCCAACACGATGGCGTGTATTTCAATACTTAGAGTATGTATTATACTTTCTTGCATTATTTAATCTTCCACAAATTCCCAAGACAAAGTGGGTGAAGTACTATATAAAAAAAACCTGATGAAGCCATAGAAAAATTATCTTTACAGTCATGAAGACGGAGCAGAAAAACTTACTACGTGTTGCAGTCAGTGATACTGCTACAAGTATGATCCATGTTGATAGTGTTAAAAATGGAGTTTGCCATCTGAAAAAGAATTAGTATCATGATTAAATAAAATAATAAACAAGTTTAAATTTCAGTGCCGTATAAACATACACAGTATCAGTGACTTTGAATGCTTTCAGTACACTTTGTTCAAAGGTATGCATAGTGAACAAAAATATTAGTATGTACTTGTGGTACCCCATGTAGATGGTTTTGAAAATTAACGCTTTCACATACATGGTTCTGAAAATAAATGCAAGGTGTTAAGATGATAGAGACGTGTTTTGCTTTAATATTGGTGTGTATTTGTAACGTCGTGGGATGACATGAAGTATTTATAAACTATTCATTTAATTAAAAGATTATATTGAATATTTACCTGAGAATATGGAAGATAGCTTTGGTTGATAACTGGAGAAGCCACGTTGTACTTTGAATTCGTTGGTAACTGGTTACTAATGTTGCAATGTTATAATGCTCCATCTACATATAATTCATCAGAACAAATTAATGAAAAATTGGAATTGAAAGTTGAACTTGAAACATTTTATTAAAAAATAATAGTAATTATAATATAAACACACGCACTCACTAGCAGCAAAAATTAATACTAGGCCCTAGGTAGGCCTCTATTTGTAGTTGTCCTGACCCCTGGATAGCACTATCAAAAAGGACCAGCACCTGAATTGAAGCCTTAAAACATGTATGTAGATCCTAGCCCTTGGTAGGCTAATTCTATCCCAGGTCTCCAATCCAATCCCCTCTAACTAGGCAAAGAAGAAGTAGTAGGCTCAAGCCATTTTTAGCAGTCAACAGGAGACAGTGGAGGTGCCCAGCACACGGACACACTGACATAGGCCTAGCCTAGCTAGGCTGGCCTAGACACCACAAAATGATCATAAATACACTGTAATTATTCATTTTTCTGATGGTTAGATACATATGTACAAATGTTTAAAAGTGACCATGGATATACTAACATTCCTAATAAAACATGTAGTAAAAGTCTACCTGAAAAAAAATTCTTTCCCCACACAGAATCTAGGCCTAGGCCTATACCAAAACATAACACAATTATTGTTGTGCCTTTATTCGCACGGCATCGACCGTGCGAACAGTCATTGCTCTGAACATTTCGCATGAGGGCGTTAATCAAAACATTTGACATTTGATTGATGCATGCCGGTAGCGAGCGGGAGATAAAACAGGTACGTACTTTATATTTTCTTCAGTAGTTTAATATTATTAAGAAAAGAATTATTAAGGTTATAATGTTTCAATTAAAATTAGCTAGGCTTCCACAATCTACCTAGGCCTAGGTTAGGCTGGTAGTCTTGCTATAGCAGCTATACTTACTATTTAGGTACGTATATATTATAGGCCTAGCCTAGGCTAGGGCCTGTATAGTAGTAGTAGGCCGGTGTGGCCAGGCCAGGCCTCCTATTCCTAGCTAGAGCTGCAGCCATTCCTAGCTAGGGCCTAGTGGGTAGGCCTAGGCTAGGCTTTCTCTGTATTTGTAGCCTATGCTGAACCTAACTAGGCCCTAGTGTAGGGCCTCGTCCTACCTAATTAAGCTTTAATGGATGGAGGCCCGGGATTTTTGAATGATTGTTTGGCGTACGTGTGTATGCTGATTTACCCACCACCAGAACGCCATGGCATGGCATGGTGGTGGTGTAGGCCTATGTCTCCAGTAGCACAGGCCGATGGAGCATAATTAATTGGGCTGGCTCTGGCAGGTAGTTGTTATAGCGACAAGATGGCTCAAATGCCTACTCCCATAAAGTCATAGGCTATATAGGGTTATTTCCCAAAACGAACTGTTTTTGTTGTATTGTTCAGTCTCTGTTTGCTCTTCAAAACTTTGCAAAAAACTGGTAGCGATTCTTCATTGATATTTTTACTTTTTATTTTATAATTTGGTCTATTATTAGATTGGCTTTATTGTCTGCACACTGCATTGTTTTTTTGTAAAATATAAATATGGACTTGCTACCAAAATAAATTTTATTGATTGTTTGATTGGTCTAGGCCTTATACTATGTTACATTTTTTGCATATTTTACTCAGACATTTAAAATTATTAAAGTACAGTACAAATGGCAGGCTAGGCCCAGTCTGTTAAAATGAAATGTCATGATTGTTCTCATCATGCAGGTTTGCTGTAAACTTGCCAGCGCTTTAGGCTAGTTAATTATTGTTGTATTAGCCTAACTATCTTATATTGATGAATGCGTGCCATAAACACATTTCAACGCTACTGATGCGAACAGAAGCAATTTGTCGAACAGCTATTCGCTATACGAGTGTAATTTCAAGAGGAAATGGGATGAAGCTGGACTCGCCAGAGTTTCATGGAATATTCACTCCAGGATTGCAGACATTGCAGGAGATATTTAAGAAGTACAACTATGAAATCAGGATTGCGGGCGGTGCAGTCCGGGATCTGCTCAAGAGGGTAAGAAGATAATGTTAAGGTTAATGTTATATAAAATGTAATGGTAAAGGTCAAAACCTAAAGCTCTAGGCTCACAGGTTGGAGTGCCCGTCTCTCTTTCTGTGGCATTTGTGCCAGACTGTGCAAGGCTGTGGGGGGCTTTGCCACTCCTTCCAGACTGCTGTCTGTCCAGACAGCATACCATATGCCGGTACCCATTCATACTCCTGGGTGAAGAGAGACAAACATATTTGGAGAAGAAATAAAAAGAAAACTAGGTTTTAAAACATTTTGTTATTTGTTGCTAAAAGGCTTACAGGGTAGTGTTTGACATACCAAGAGGTTAAGGTTAAAAAAGAACCATGTCTGCTTTTTAATCTTTATAAAGCAACTAGACAAATGTTTTTCCCCACTTCTATCACATTCTGACTACTGAAGAGTGAGTTAAGAAATTGTTTAAAAACAATAAAATTGATTATATAACATCTGTTTCCCTCTTGCTAAATCACATTTCCATTTTCATTTTTTTTTGTTTTCAGATGATGTAATCACTTCACATTTCTTTAAGCACCTTTATTTCCCTGTTAAAATTTTCTTTACTATCATTTACATTATGTATTTTGTCATTTATAAAGAAAGTACCCAACGATATTGATTTTGCAACAACGGCAACTCCGTCGGAGATGCAGAAGATGTTCAGCACAGAAAATATCCGTATGATCAATACAAAAGGAGAAAAACATGGCACCATCACAGCCCGCATAAAGGACCAGAATTTTGAAGTGACAACTTTACGAATTGACAAAATAACCGATGGTCGACATGCAGAAGTAGAGTTCACTAAAGATTGGGTTATTGATGCGGAGCGCCGTGATCTCACCATCAACTCTATGTTTCTAGGTAGGTTTCACTCCATAACGCATGCAAGTGCACCTCCTAGTTCTGTGACCTCAGGGTTTGTGAACTATATTATAGTTTGTAATTTATTTATTGCAGAAATGATTATTTCTCAGCAATATATTCATTAAAAATAGAAAATTCATCTGATATTTATTCCTGATAAAACAGGTGTCATTTCAGATGATCTGTTTCAATGAGCTTTCTTAGTACAGTATATCTAATTTTGTTTTACTGATCTTGATACTAACCCATTTTGACACTGATTTCGGTGAGACAAAGTGATAATAAGGGGGCAGTACAGTAGTAAAAAAACATGCATACAGTCAGTATTTAATTAATTTACAGGAGATGTGTTATTTTCCAGGGGATGCTTGGTTGCGGCAGTGCCAGATGCTGTCCAGGTTTCTGGGAGACTTCCGTGACTTGTGGCAAACTTGGGACCCCGTCACCCTCCCCTCAACAGAGATCTTGTATCAAGATCATTTTATTGTATTTTTCATTCTGTGCATCGTCAGTTATATTTCAATATATAATTCCTCCATCTGAGATGTGTGCAGTGTTGTCTATGTTCTGAATGCATTTTGACATGATTCTGATCTTTATTTCAGGCCTTGATGGAACTGTCTATGACTTCTTTAATGGGAGAGAACATCTTGATAAATGTGATGTCAGGTTTGTTGGTGACCCCACTCAGCGAATACAAGAAGACTACCTACGAATTCTGAGATACTTTCGGTACTTGCATCTTTTTTTATATTTCATTTTAATTACATAAGATGTTTAAAGAAGTTGTAATCAAAAGAACAGGGATGTCATGTCATCATTCTATGTTACACACTTCTAACACACTTCTTCAGCAAAGCTGATATTAATTTAAGATCCTTGATACTTGCTAACCAACTTCATATATTTTGGTTCTTCAATTTATACAAGAAAAGTTTTCTGGGTACCTACTATAGCAATGATGGTAACACTGGTGTTGATATACTTTATTTCAAATTGTAGATTAAAAAAAAATTGAATATTATTTGACTTGAATATCATGTATCTGAGTATGCATTAAACATAAGAATGTCAAGTTGTAGTGTATAAGATTGCTTAAAATACCCACAAAACAATCATCATGCAAGTTATTAGAATAACAACTTTATGATAAAACATTAAAGACAGCAAATCTTAGTGAACATTAATGTTTAAATTAAACTACCATGCTGTCTAAAAACAATTTCATTATTAATTAAAAAAAAGTGGTCTTTTCCAGGTTTTTTGGGCGAATATCTCCAAAGCCAGATGGGCATTCTGCACATACCTTACAGGCAATTCGCGAGAATGCCGAAGGTCTCGCAAAAATCTCAGGCGAGAGAATTTGGATGGAGCTGCAGAAGATTCTTGTTGGGAACCACGCAGCGCACATCGTTAGGTGTATGTATGAGCTGGGATTGGCTGAATTCATTGGTGAGAAGTAAACTGATTATCACATATGTGGCAAAGACAAGCCAAACCAATCACTCGTCGCAAATTTTTTCAGAGAAAATAGCAAAAACATGCTAGAATGTAACATTTTTAAAAATCTATTTTATTTCACTAAACTAAGGTTTATGTATCTATACATCATGCTGTGCTGTTATTTTTCCAAATTTCAATGTTAAAACAACACTTTTTAATGATTTTATGATAGTTTCTGCATGAGAAATGCCTGAAATCATAAACTTTGAAGGCTAATTTCTCATATATTGTTCTTCAAACAGCTGTACGCTTAAATGCTTGTAACTTCAGAAGGAAATGTCGGATTTGAATGATTTTTTAACCATTTTATCTTATTTTACTCATTAACCCTGTAATAATAACTCAAAATCAATTTTTGCAACGAGTGACTGGTTTGACTTGTCTTTGCCACATATAATCTTTGAAAATTAAAATTTTTTAAAAGTACTGAATTTACCATAGCATTATAATAGTCATATAGCATGACAATGATAAGCTTCAATGCGCTATCAACCACACACACTTTCACACAAACACTAAAAGAGCAAAGGAGTGTGAGAAGAAGAGGTCAATGAAAGAAAAAGATGATTTTTGAGTAAAGCCTTGAAGTTCTCTAGTCTTGATGTGTTCATGGCAGTTCATTCCACAAAGTGGAAGAAGTGAAAGAAAATTCTTCGTCCTACCGTCGTGGTACAATCGAAAGCTCTCTATTATATTTCAAGAAGGCAGCAAAGCCAGCAATGCTGAACGGTCTCTGAAACATACAATAACATAGTGCATTTTCCTCAGTCAAAAAACATGTACGTTTTACCCCAAGAACTCTTTTAATAGATATACAGTCTGACTTGCAGCGTGAAAGTAGTTATAGCATAGAAGCGGTTTTGCTTAGTATTTGCGGTCAGAGGTTTAATCACTCGCTGTGTATTTTGCTTGTGTCTTAAGGCAAGGCAATTTACTTACGGTTATCTCTCCCCATCGAGGAGTACAAATGGTTACTCCTGGGTGGGGAGATGCGCTCTGATTACAGCTGTAACATTATGGAAATCTTCCCAGGGACCTGAGTATTTGTGGCAGGGGGTAATAATGCAAAGCGTATAGAGGCCTCTACAATATGCGCTCTATGAGTCGACCATTATTATTATTGTATTCTGACTTTTATTATTATGATAAGAATTTTTTTAGTCATAATTATTGGTAATTATTATAAAATACATTTCTTAATACAGTAATATCAATGTACTTGATTTTTCAGGCTTGCCAACAAATGGAAATTTGGATTGCTTGGGAGCAGTTTGTGAACGTAGCTGTGGACTTGAACCAAAACCCATAACCATTCTTGTGGCACTCCTACATAATGACCAGGATGTCCTCAAGATTGTAGAAAGAATGAAAACCTCAGTCGATGAAAGAAAACTTGCAATGTTTATCGTAAACAACCGGGAAGATAAAGAAAATGGAAGCATTTTGAAATCATTACAAGATATCATTGTTGCTGTGAGTGAAAAAAATATTATATTACAATATTGAATCTTGTTTGAAGGTTTGCATGGCGAAGCAATAATATATTAAATGCTTGCGGTTTACCATGTAGATAGCTCTGGAAAAAACTGTTGATTTTATTGAGAATGTCTCAACATTTTATTGAGTTGCAATATAAACATATAGACTGAAAAAGAAAATGGATATCATAGTTGCCAACTTTTCAAAAAAAAATCTGTGAGAACTCTTGTTACGTAGCATACGCGCCACAGGCTGGGGCCAGGGGGCCACTGTGAGCCTAGGGTGCGAAGCCCCCTTGAAGCTCGCGCAATCTGGGCATTTTAACTACTGATTTGCTTGATCTTGGACACTAAATTAAGTCAAATGTATGTATGTTAACTTCATAAAACCAATAAGTTATACCCATAACATAAAGTACAGTACTTTAAACTTATGTAGATTACCTGACAGGCGCTTGATGTAAAATTAAAACATTTTTTACGGACTCTGATCTTTTTTTTTGGATGGATAATTAGTTAACCTTTTATTCATGATGTACAGTCACTTTCATGTGGAAAACAGATAAACAAACCATGTGTGGTGCATTACTGGGTAATACAAGCACACAGACGGTAGCGGGTGTAAAGGGCATCGATTTTTTACAATTCCAACGTCCAGCGTAATGGGCTTGAACTAATGGGCCTAGGCTTACCCTTTGCTACACTACAGATGAATGGCACATGATTTATTTATTGCATATTACCGTTTGCAAATCTTTATTTAGTAGTTTAAAAATCTTGATCCGTGAGTAACCTTGAAATCTTTGATTTTTTGTTCATCCGTAGTAAATCTGGCAAATGATAAATTATCTTTGAGTCTCACGGTCAGTCTGTATAAGTTGGCAACTGTGGGATATTATTCTCCTAATGATGATTTAAGCAACTCAATTGAAACATCAAGACATTGCCAGAATTACTGTAGATGGTAAAATGTCCACACGACAAATTTCAAGGGGGTACCTTGTCGTTCCAATACCTCAATGCAAACTTTTTAAACATTCTTTTAAATATAAAGGTCCCAAATATTTTAACTCACTTGACGTCTCTATAAGAAACTCTAGCACATTTTCCAATTTTAAAACCAAATTGAAAAGTTATTTATTTTATAATAGTACAATTTAATCTTTTTTTCTATCTACTTTTAAACTGATTGTTTTCCCTTTGTATTTTATAGAATTTTATCATCTCAAATTTTTTTTGTAAATAATCTTTTAACTTGTTGATGTTTGTTTTTCGTAAATTTGTTCTTGTTGAGGGCCCCTTAAAATCAGCTCACGCTTAATGGGTCACCCTCTCGAAATATTGTTGAATAAATAAATAAAATAAATAAATAAATAAAAACAGCAGAACTATCCACATGGTTTACCACAAGCCTTTAATATAATACATTTGACATTTGTTAATTTGGCACTACAGAAAAGTGGTCTTTAATTGGAGGTGGTGTTTAATTGGAAAGTCTTTAAATAGAGGGAAACCTGTTAGCACTGTTTACATGAAAATTAATGTTCTGAGCCACTTTACATGATAAGAATACAAAAAATTTACTTTAAAACACTGGCTTCGATTACAACAATATTTATCTCATTTAATTTTGGAGGTATGTATTAATACAATACAAAAATATAAATTTCAAAAACTATGACAATATTATATAAAAATTTATTAAATAATTTATTTAAAATATTTAAGATTAGTTGTTAGCAAAATTGACAATGAAGAGGAGACAGGCTAAATTATACAGTATAAAATGTTATAAAAACTACATTTAAACTACAATAAATTACCAATAAAAATACAAAAAATATATGCTAAACAATTCAGTAACTCATTCATTAATGTTATTTTATCTATTTTTTTTATCTATATATCTTAGAATACTGGGAAAGAAAAAAACATTGTTCCTTACGTGTGTGAAATTTTTAAGTACCGAGGGGAGAAGGCCAATCTTGATGCTATTGTCAACTGGACTATTCCCGTATTTCCTGTTTCGGGCAAGGATTTGCTAGCGGCTGGTGTTCCACGTGGAAAAGAACTTGGAAAAATTCTTGACAGAATGAAAATGAAATGGACTGATAGTAATTATAAACTTAATAGAGATGAAATAATGACAATCCTGCCAGAAATACGATTGTGACATTTTTTGATGCTCGATTGTATTGTCCTGTTCCTGTCCATGCCCAATTCTTCCTTCTCTCTTTCCCCCCACCCATCTGAGTTTTGTGTCTTTACCTTAGTTGTCTCAGGCAATCTTTAATTTTAAATAGTTCTTGAGAGCATAGGTGTAAGAATTAAAAAAACCACTGTGGAGCCAGGGGATTTGTTAGGGGTGCATGCTTCGCAGTGGCATATATACAGGGGTTCTCATAGGAGAGCACACCTCCACAAAAAAACTTACCTGCTGCATTGCTTCTCTCCATGCAGGAGTACAAGTGGGTACCCGGTAGAGTTCAAATGCCAAATGTGCAGATTACTGCTGCAACGTTATGGAATACGCATCCGGGGAGCTGAGTTTGTTTGTTTCATACATGTTTAATCCAATGATCACGGTAATGATAATATGAAGTGCATAGAGGTCTTTTCATAATGCGCTATTATTATTATTATTATTATTATTATTGCATGGAATGGTCATTGAAACATTCATACCTGTATAATATATTCATCATAATATGTTGTGTTGTGTGTATTAATTTCAGTGTTAAAAGGGGTCAAATATCGGGTCAAGCAGATTTTTCCATGAAGACATATAAATTAAGCATAGATGAGGTAATCAAAATGTGTATTTAAAGATACTAACCTCAAAGGAGGAGGATGGTTTTAATAAATTTGGTTATCACAAGTGATGGCAGATAGATCAGAATTTGCAAGTTGTGTTTTATATTACGCTATAAGTGATAATATATCAGTCTATAATGAAAGTGAGGAATGCTTATAGCAAAAAGTTGCTATGAGCAAACCGGAAAATCAGATTAGCTGCTGCAACATTATGGAATACGCATCCGGGGAGCTGAGTTCGTTTGTTTCATACGTGTTTAATCCAATGATCGAGGTAATGACAATATGAAGCTCATAGAGGTCTTTTCATAATGCGCTACTATTATTATTATTATTATTGCATGGAATGGTCATTGAAACATTCATACCTGTATAAAATATTCATCATAATATGTTGTGTTGTGTGTATTAATCTCAGTGTTGAAAGGGGTCAAATATCGGGTCAAGCAGATTTGTCCATGAAGACATATAAATCAAGCATAGATGAGGTAATCAAAATGTATATTTAAAGATACTAACCTCAAAGGATGAGGATCGTTTTAATAAATTTGGTTATCGCAAGTGATGGCAAATAGATCAGAATTTGCAAGTTGTGTTTTATATTACGCTATAAGTGATAATATATCAGTCTATAATGAAAGTGAGGAATGTGTTCTCTATTTTAATTTTTATTTGTTAAAATTAGACATTTTTTTTTGCAATTTAGCATAAATCAACTTTGCCATAGTTTGTAGTACCGCAGAAGCAAGAGTCTCAATGGGAAAGCTTTAGACTGTCTGGCGGCTGTGGGTGGGGGGTGGGGGGGGGGTTGGTTGAGATGTTTACTTTATAAATTTTTTCCCCTAATTATTCTTGCCATCCACAGCACTTTATCACATTTTTTGTTTCAACAATATATATATTTCATCAATATTTGAATAGTTATATCTGATTTTCTGGTTTGCTTATAGCAAAAAGTTGCTATGAGCAAACCGGAAAATCAGATTAGCTGCTGCAACATTATGGAATACGCATCCGGGGAGCTGAGTTCGTTTGTTTCATACGTGTTTAATCCAATGATCGAGGTAATGATAATATGAAGCTCATAGAGGTCTTCTCATAATGCGCTACTATTATTATTATTATTATTGCATGGAATGGTCATTGAAACATTCATACCTGTATAAAATATTCATCAAAATATGTTGTGTTGTGTGTATTAATCTCAGTGTTGAAAGGGGTCAAATATCGGGTCAAGCAGATTTGTCCATGAAGACATATAAATTAAGCATAGATGATGTAATCAAAATGTATATTTAAAGATACTAACCTCAAAGGAGGAGGATGGTTTTAATAAATTTGGTTATCGCAAGTGATGGCAGATAGATCAGAATTTGCAAGTTGTGTTTTATATTACGCTATAAGTGATAATATATCAGTCTATAATGAAAGTGAGGAATGTGTTCTCTATTTTAATTTTTATTTGTTAAATAAAAATAGCAAAAAGTTGCTATAAGCAAACCAGAAAATCAGATATAACCGCATGAAAATTAAAATTTGAGGATAGTGGACAAACCAAGAAGTTTAAAAATAGAGAACAGTTAAACAAATTATTTAATTAAAAAAAAAAAATCAAAAACCGAAAGAAAATAAGAATTCGATTATAGTGGATAAACCAAGAAGTCAAAAAATGGAGAAAAGTGGGAAAAAAAAAAGAAACAGCGTCCCTGGGTGGGCTTGAACCACCAACCTTTCGGTTAACAGCCGAACGCGCTAACCGATTGCGCCACAGAGACATGTTGAGTAACCGGCTTTGTTGTTTAGGTAGGAAGTTCACATTACAGTTACAGCTGTAACGAGGGTAGAAATACAGCTCATATAGCTTTTATATTGTAATTGTTTACATATAGGTCCTTATTGTATCACGAGTTACATTACCAGAATGTGGATAAATACATATTTGCAGTTATATACGATGCTATATTTTATTTCTCGTGAGAGGGCGGTCTATTGTCCGTTTATTAATCACAGCAGCATATTCCCTGTTTAAAAACACTTTTAATTTTTAAGTAATCTAGATTTGTATATTATTCATAATTCTTATCTACTATACAGTAATATGATTATATCTACAGTTCTTGATATGAAAACAGCCTCATTGTGAAACTGGTGAAAATAATTTCACCCTATCGTTATAATGGAATATCCAGATAAGTTTTTTGATACTCTTCGGTGATTCTAATCAAATGCGAGAGAACTGTATCTGATCGTCAAGTCGTCATTTTTCCCAAAATCTTTTTATTATTTTAGTAGTGGAAGTTTCCACTTAAAATTGTGTATTTTATTTATTTTTTATTGTTAAAATTAAATTTAAATTAAAACTATTTATAATAAATTTCGTAATATTGCCTTTTTGTTTGGTAATTTCGTTATCTCAGAATATATTTCCCCTCCGCCGAGAAAGAGTATATTTTCATTTAATTTATTTCGCCAAATTCGATCGTAAAAGAAGACACACAAAAGACAATGCACTTGTCGGTATTAGGATACACAATGGGCACATTTAATTGCTGTGACTGTTTTTTCCTCTGACAAGAGTATAACAAACATTCAGAATATTAAATAGTAAAATATAATGTAAAAAATATATTATAAAAATAGATATAAGTGCATGACAAAATATAAAAATGAGTACCGGTAATATCTTAAACACGAAAAATCACATCAGAAAGTAATGGAAACGATGTGCTGATGCAAGTTCATCTCAGAGGTCAGTAGGAGGAGTCCCACACCCTCGGAAACTGATTGAAAATACTTAACAGTGCGATAATTGATGCAAATTTAATAGTGACGGAGCTGGTTAATAATATTGGAAAAGGAAGAGAAATGGCAGTGTAGGCCTACTGAATATATTAAACATTAACCCCTATGACTAGGGGTGTCTCAAAAGAGGGATTCTATTGTATTTTATCAATATTTTTTTTCGACTTCACCTTCAGGTAAAAATTAAATGAAATAACAATGAGATAAAAGTTAAATATAAATATATATTAGGCATATTTATTTGTATAGGCCTATATGGTTATGATCTTGTTTAAAAGCCCGTTTTAATAATAGGCTTATATAGTGCGATTTTATATAGAGTATCTGACAAAAGGTATAGTCATATACGGCTCTTTAGTCCATTTTGTACGGCGCATTGGGACAGTCCATCATAATGCAAGAATACAGTATTGCATGATTTTTGTGTACAGCGCCCTCAATTCAGTATCATCACTTCTCTCTGCTATTCTACTGTACTGAAGTTTGTTTTGCACAATTCTATTATTATTTTAGGGTAAAAACAATTAAAAAAGTATAATCAATGACCTATGTATAGTACAGTATCTGTGACAATAATCATTCACTTCTGTGCTGATATTGAACGTGTTTTGTATACCACGGGCCTGCGCACTAAGGTTTGAAGGTCATATTAACTGAAGCGAATGATTCCAAGGTCTGGCCTGATATTATCATACTTGTGAACTTGACTGTAAAGTGCACCTATTCACTTTACAAATCGAGACACCATGGTCCTTTCATAGCAAATTGTTCAAGTTCAAAGAGAATGGGAAAAAAAACCCATATAAAATTACGTTTTATTATTGTGACTTATCATTGAATTGTGAGTCAGTAATCTGGTGTTTTCGTATCTGCATCGATAGTCAAACAGACAGTTAAATGATTACTGTATTATAAAAAATGAGATTTTGTATTAATTGCATACAGTATAGCATTTACTAAATTTGATTTTTTTTTAATTACACGTTTCTGTTTAATATCAAATAAGTTGCTGACCAGGATTTATCTTGAATCTTCCTTTCGGCCACGGTGAACGGCCGACAAATTCGTTGACGATTTACAACAACGGTGTGGGGCTTGGACCATCTCGTATATATATATATACACATTATATAGTATTATTATTTTTAACCATTCTTTGTGAGTATATTTAGCTATAATTACCCTCGGGTAAAAGGCTAAAATTACAAACCCGTAGAACAATATCTCAATTCTTAAGCAAAATATCAAATAAGTTTTAGGGCTTTAATAAGACGGTAATTATATTGTTGTTTTGTCTTAATCTCGCACTCTGTTTTGCGATGTGATGTACACACATAAAGAAATCTTGACTCTTGAAATATATAATTATAAAATAAATAGATAAATATTGGCATATAAGTTACATTTAAGAAATTTGTTTTCAAATAGAGCTGGGGCTTATTCAATAACGAAGGAAGAATGAAGATAAACTAACTAATTTTAAAGTTTTTCTTTAATGAAATTATGGCTAGAATCTATTCAGGTTCTTGGGAAGAGAGGGCAACATTAGGAAAGTTGAGGTGGTCTGAACTCAGCCCATCGGCAGACCATGACGTCAGCTGTGAATATATACTTAAACTCAAACAATACAATGCAAATAAACTAAATTGAACACAGCATGCAATACAAGATACAACAACGACACACCTGATGGTGAAATGATGCTAAACTAAAGACCTAAATTAGAGTAATGGTTTGAGTTAGGGTACAGACGATAGTGGTTATAGGCTAATACGGGGTAGGTATTTGTCTGTCCTTCTCAACCCCAGTGAAAATCCTCATCACTCCCCCAGCCCACCCAAACCGGTCGACAGTCACACGTTCATATAATATGGCTTTGGAAATAATCTGGAGTTATTAAAACATAGACCTTCACTTATTGGCCTGCCTACACCACCGTGTGTACCTCAGAATCTCGGTCGCATTGTCCAAACCTCGATATGTAATCTGTGGAAAATTTCCGAGGCTCATGTCATACCATACAAACAATATTATTGGGTTGTTTCAGGATTGTTATTGAAGTTAACATTCGTAAGGTTTCAAGTCCGCTGTTGTCTTTTTTAATGATTTCTGATCTTTATCATTCGTCAAGGTCTTCCATAAAAGAACTTAAAATTCAACGTGAAAAAATAAGTTGATTTGAATGGCGTGTAAGTCGTTTTAAATGGTGAACTTTCTTATTGTGTGCCACAGAATCAATGTATATTTTTGCGTTTTAATTATTTGTGGATCTTGATTTAC